CGCCGGCTTTCCTGTGCCATCGCTCGGCTCCTCAGCGAGCGCCTACGCTGCGGGTGCAGCCGCCGTGAGCTCACCCCGAGAGCGATCCTGCCGGAGCGAGGAGCAGCCGCTCCCCAACGGCACAGCATCCCGGGCAGAGATCCTTCCCAACGCCCCGCGTAGACGAGGCTGCGTCTATCAGATGCAATCCCAACCCGTACGCAACCCCCGGCATCTCCAAATGGGTATCGGAGCGATCCAAGGGAGGGATTTTGGCATCGCCAGGGCGAGTATCTCCCACCCACAGCGACCAACGTGCCCGCTGCGGATCGAGAGCGAAGGGTTTTCCACAAGCCAGAGCTGGGCTGTAGGAACGGTGTCCATTTATTCTCCCTAATTCTACGGCCCGGTGTCATCTTTAACCGCCGCGAGTGGCAACCGCTAGCGTTGTTTTTAAAAAGGGGAAAACCCGATGCCCTCACCACACGCCTTTCCTCACCCTTGGCACGACGGGAAAGGACTGGAACAACCTGGGCACAGCACTGGGCGTAAAGCGCGGCTGCACGCGGCGCAGAGCGACGAGGAGACCGTGAGGCGTGCGAGAAGGCGGATTCCCTTGGGCAGCGAGCCGAGCGCTGCACATCGCGTGTACCCAGGGCCAACCAATATCAGCTCGAAGCCAGACCAATACGAGGTTCCAATGCTGGTTTCTGGAAAAGATCTGCTATTCCTGCAGTCACCATCCCTGCGAACGTTCCCAAACCAAGGATGTGCCGGGAAAGGTCACATCCTGCGGCAGGAGCCCGGGTTACCTGGGCACAGCGAGAGGGGCAGTGACCAAGACACCCCAAATCCAGCTCCAACAACAGGGGCTGCTCACAGCCCCGGGTCCATGCTGGCAAAAGCCGCTCCGGAGGGAAGCGGTCCACTCCTTTTAGGTCCTGAGGTCACTGAAGGCCGAAAAATTAAACGGCTCTTCTGTTCTGTTTTTTTTTTAAATCACAACAGAACACAGAGGATGCCCCCGAACCCCAGACCCCAATCCGTGCGTCGGTTCCTCTGGTCGCTACTGCCCAGATCGGCCACGAGCAGTGACCAGCTGTCCTACCCCTTCCTTCCCTCCGCTGAATGGTCCCTAGTATTGGAATCAGCCGATATTGATTTTCCCTGACCCACAACAGGTCCAGACCAGAATATTTCAACAGGTTTAGAGGTGTGTAGTCTTAAAAATATCCTTAAGAAACACTGAGGTAGACTGCACCCAAACAGGACGAAAGTAATCCCACCACATCCACCTGCCAAGATTTTACAGATACAAACCTACACGTTCCGTGTGTTTAAGAAAACGAATTGTTTGTTGTTTTTTTTGTTTGGT